CTGGTCTCACCGCGTTCCTGCTGCAGTGTCTGGGAAGCATCTACATGTCAGTGGTTTACCAGGTTTGGACTGTGTCCTGAACTGCAGGCGGTCCAGCAGCTCTATCTGTAGTCATCTCCGAGTCAGCAGTTGAACTATCATGGGCTGGTACCTCAATCTCAGGGTCCATGACCTGACCTGTACTGGACCTTGAACCAGCCTAAGGAGGCTCCAACCTTCTGCGCTGCGCAGCCGGTCTGGCGCTCTGTTTTTTGCAGGCAAAAGTCTTGTTTTTGCCGATAAGTGCGAAAAGTTGGGAAATTCCCATCTCAACTTACTAAAATTTGAACTCCGCGATCGACAGTCTTATCAGGGAATATTGTTTCATTCTTCACCTGTAGTCTTCCCTGGGCCCCATCGAGGTTCCTGTTGTTTTTTCTTCCATTGTGTCAGTGGGTATCAGGGCATGTTTTCAAAAGCATCGCTGGTGTGAGCAAGAAGTTGACTTCACAGCTCGATTTCTCGAGATCCTGAACAATTTTGCTTGACGAAAAAATGACCAAGGAGAACGGAGCCAAGCGTCTCGATGGCTGTGTAACACCAGGGACCAAAACCTACTGTAAGCGCGTTTTGGAGAGAGAGATTGAAGTGGGTGCACAGACGCTGGTAAGTGGATCCACTTCTAATTCTCAAGTGGCGAAATATATTGCTACGCTGAAAACATTGCAGTCTTGAGTGAGTGGTAAATCGTTGGTGAGCTACTGCTCAGTGACTTGGGCTATTTACGAAAGCTGTGACCTGTCAGCTACCAACGTCGCCAGCAGTAAGTCATCACCTGCGTCCACTTGAATAAAATGCAGCACTTATTGAGTATGTTGTTTTGCAGTGTACTATTCTCTATTGTCAGAGTGTGAAGTATTTTTGTAAATGTTGTGTTGTAAAGCACCAGTGATTTGAAAATATTCCTACACTACTCGCACCAGTTCTATTATGATGAATGCATGCACCTGTACCCATAAGCACTATGTGCATGCACATACGCAGGCACGCGTGTGAGCCTACATAATTATTGTGTGTGTGTGCGCGCGCGCAGTGCATGTTGTGTGTGTGTGCGCGCGCGCACGTGTGCACAAGTGCATAGACAGCAGAATATGGTAACTAAGCTCAAGAGTATGCATTTGCATGTGGGTGTATGCTATTGCGGGTGCGCGTATATGACGTACGTGTATTTGTGTGTGCAAGAGGTACTTGTTTGTGAGCATGTGCATGGAAGCGTACATGTATGTATCAATGTGTGCAATGCGCATGCACCCACATACACTTGTGGTTGTTCCATGTCATTGGGAATAGTGTTATGATTATACCTAATGGGTGCTACAATTACTAGCAGTCGTTCATTGCCAATATTGAGTTGAAGCTGCATCTACATTGTACATGTACTACAAACATGAAACTGCCCCCCCCCCCCCCCGCCCCAGAATATAATAATTGTTATCCTCCTCAAGCTCTTTGCATGTTGCTTTATGAGAAATACTAGGAGTGAAATATTGCAAGAGTTGTGATGCAAAGCTGGTCTGAACTGCGCTCAGGGTCAGTAGGCCTCGGCCTGGACCATGAATAACGTTGTGCTTGGATCATGCCGATATCCAGATCAAGGGCTAAAAAGCCCAGGAACCATGGCCTCATCTAGTCTCCATGTATACTATAACAATCTGGGGGACCATTCAATGCTTTTGACACAAAAAATTGGAGTAATACCACAAGGAATGCATAGAATGATCACCTTACCTGAAATATAACAATTCCAAGAATGGTGGAAAATCGGCCAATTTTCTGTCCTATTTTTATTTGTGGAGGTCTAAAATGCACGGTAACCCCCCTAAAAGTATATATTTCTAGTTTCTATGAAGTATGAGAATCCCAAAAATAAAATAAAAAGGGCATGTCCATGAAGAAAATATGAAGCTGTGCACCCAATTGTACTTTGCGGACGGGCATTTCTGCGAAGTTCATTTTTGTACCAAAATTACTATTTTTCTGAGTAGTCAATGCTGATTGCCAGATTTTCTTGCTCAAATGCTTCACTGTGATGTGTGAAAGGACTTGCAATCACAAAGAGAAGCCAGACAACTGGTAAATCTGAAATATGACCCCAAAACAAGCAAATTTAGGCCGAAATCGATAAATACACCCACCCCTAGAAATACACCTCAAACAGCCTTATCTCCGCGGAAACACCCCCTGAATTTTTTTGTGGAGTAACATGGGATGATATAGAGCACACTCATCCACAAAAAGGAGGGGGTTTATGAAGAAAAAAATCACCCCCAAAGGGTTGGAGCCTCCTTAAGAAGTCTGAGTAGAAGCATGCGGAAAGGCTACTTGTAAAGAAGGGGGAAAACCACGAAGTGAGAAACCCTCGAGGATGGAAATCATGGAATCTATACCTGTGGAAATGGGACTTAACGTGCCGGCTAAATACAGCACAGGTTTCAGATATCCTAATCTCGGTTATTTGATATACGCCCTTCTTGCCAACTCCTCCATGTCCCAGTTTGTTTTCTGAGAGCCTTTCTCCACATACATGTACACGTATGTCCATTAACAACGGGTGTCCATGCCGGAAATTATGGATACGAAAAAGCGATAGTCGCGCGGAATAAATATCGATTGCGCTTTCGTGGGATACTATTACCTTTATTTTTTTCGATTTATGCATGCAGTGCGCCTTTATCGGAGACTGTGCTCTCTTAGGGTGCGTTCTTAAATTCTCTAGCTTCTGGGAGAAGAAGAAAAGAGAAGTCGAAGAAACTGGGATTCTTCAAGAACGGGTCTCGAAGAATTCGGAGATATTTTGCAGATGTCAAGCAAAATGAAGCGCCAAAGGGGCCGCGATCTTCAGTGCCACGAATATAGTATGCGCTGTGCGTATGCGAAAAGGGAAATGCGTACACTCATGATCAATGCGTGGCTTTTAGACTAGTTCGCATGCGCTGATCCCAAACCGCGGGAATCTCCCAGTTTCAACCACCTCTGAAGCTTGGAGAGCTTGGAGAGATTTGGAGAGCCTCCTGAAATTCGGAGAGGATATAAGAACAGCTGTCGAACTTTTCGGAGAGTCTCCAACTTTTCCGAGAGGATTTAAGAACGCACCCTTAGTTAGAGCAATTACAGTATGCCTACACACTTGTACAGTTGTGGCAAGTGAAATCCGACACTTGGCATAAGGGACTGCACCGTGCATCCTGCAGCCCCTGCAGCCCTGCATACGTACAGTACATGCATTACATACAACTTTATCTGTCTGATGACAGAATTCGTACTCATCACCGTCAAGGTTAGGGGTCGCACTTGGTATCATGATCAGCTCTCGACATCGCGGCCATCTTGCTTTTGACTGCATGCGCGACGCGTGCTCTTTTGGATCACGTGTGTGGTTCTCAATGCATTGTTTGCATACAAAACTGCACAAGCGCTACAAAGCTAGCTACGTACATCAAGACCTGCAGATATCTGAATTCTGATTTCTGTGAACAGAGTTTCTTCTTCACTGATACCGTTCTTGTTTTGACACGGCGACGTTCTCTTTCCCCGTTCTCCTTTCAAAATAGACTTCCATTTAGTTGTAAGTCACAACAGCAAACTTACTGGTAAGTGGAGGTCTAAGGCTTGCGCGCAAATATTCCCGCTTTGAATTCGCGTGTCAATACTCAGAACAACGACCGTGGGAATCATGCGAGTGGAGTATTTCTCAGGAGGAAGAGGTTCTGTTTGCAAAGTTGCTTCGATCCACAAGGAGTATACCAGCAACGAGTACACCTGCTACGGAAAGCGATCCTATCGGGACTTACTGACGGTATGGTTTCCTTGTTTTATGTCACTTGTATCGGTACTTTTCCTACTGCACGGACTGCACTTGTATGATACCTGTGACACAAACATCACAATCGCACGGTGTCGGCTTGAGTTGGTCTTGGAGTCTTCATGGTCCAGCAACGCGGCATCGCCGAGTTGGAGAAAGAAAGCAATGAATGTACATGAACATTGTTCCAAAACAAAGACACAGGGCAAAGCGTTGCATTCAGCAGGCAGATCATTCTGATCCCTTCCGCGCACCAAATAAACTCGAAGCAGTCCAAGTACATGTACTTTCCGACACTGCGCAATCGCGCGAGCGGCTCGCGCCGGGCCGTCCTTGCAGTCTTCAAAATGTTCCTTGGCAGCCATCTCTTCTCCGATTTCGATGATCGAGGGCTCATTTTCTTTATTAGAATCTCCTCCGTAAATCTACCGAATCAATTTTTTCCTCAACGACATAGATTTACTGTCAGAATACTGGAAAGCAGGGCGACAACGCTCAGAAAAAGCCCTACACACGGATTTCCCTTCTACTTGACCGATTTCAAAATTTCTTTCGATAGATGTCCGCGTACTTGGCCGTCAAAGCAGCCCTGCGATTTTCAACGCCGTAGCTAGATAAACGGCTGCCAAGGAACCCTTTACAAATCGCCCAAATATTGCGATATTTTGAATTTTCCGTAACTCTGATTGGCTGCACGACCCTGACGCGCACGTGCTGCGTGCGTGATGAATCAAAAATGGCTGCGATGTCTAAGTACACAAGTGCGACCCCTGAAGGTTCACAGTCAAGGTTCAAAAGGTGCTGGCCAAAATGAATGGGGATTGGATACCAATACTCCTTATGTGTACCATGTTTGTGAACTGTGTGTATCTACACTGTGACCTTTCGACCTGTTTGGGATGCATACGGCTCTATAGTACAAATTAGGTGCAGTGCATTACATCATTGATGTCCATTTGAGGCGCTGTCCCCTATGGCAAGTGTTGGATTTCACTTGCCACAACTGTACTTCCCTTTCATCCCGTACACCGTTCCAGGAACTTCCTGGATTAGTATGCATTTTCTTTTGGTACTTTTGGAGAATTCAACAAATATAGTCTGAATGAATAGATGCATGAATGAATGAACCTGTACACACTGGGATGCAGTCGACACTTACAAGCTAGTACAGGCGGACGACTCGGTGTACATTGTGCAGTTGTGCTGGTCTCGACATGTGCCGTATGGCTTAGATGGCTGGTCCTTGGCATAACCAGGATCACACTTCAGATCATAGGTACTGTATGTTTCGGAAAAAATTTGGAATCCGTGTGGTATCAACCCTACAGTCACATGGAGAAAAACAACACCAAAAATCGAGCAAAAAATGAAGACTACATTTCTCTCTACTTCTCCAAAAATAGTAATATTCTACAAACTCAGAATTTCTCATAATTTTTCACAAAACGCGGCATATTTTCTATCAATTCATAAAATGCATGTCTGTCATACCCTAGATATTACCAAGAGTACACTCTTGATATTACGAAGTAGGTTAATCTTCATCATTAGCCATCCATGCAATTTCTTCATCATTTCTAGGAACTGGCCCCTGGCCGGTGAGAAGGCATCCATGCCTGTAACTCTCATGAAGTAAAATGAAACAACAACAAAAACAACAACAATCTGTACTCCCATGTCGTTTCCACTGGTAGTGCAATCTAGGTCATCCACCACGCATGGCTTGTTCTCGCTCGTATCTTTCCAATCAAAGATATGAAACAATTCAGTGTCGCAGGTGATGATCACAAGAGAGCTTCTGTTCGGTGTCATTCCATGGTGATTCCACAGCGAGACCAAAACCAAAAAAACAAAATTAGACAAAAGAAAAATGTACCAAAGAACTATGTACAAGTTACGCTGTGATGTCCACGTACACCACTCCAGGTGCTAAACAGTCAGCTCATGTGATAACATTGCACGACACTGACCGACGGTACTGACATTCTACAGCTAACTGGCTAACAGCTCTAGCACATCTCGGAGGCGCACTCTAACAGCCTTCCAACCTTCCGTCTTTTGGCTCTGGCTTGTTTGTATGGTCCACGCGGCTATGTATTCCAATTCCGGTCTCTGTTCAAAGGAGCAGAACTGATCGCCGCAATTGTAGTTGTGGTTGTAGAAGTTTATTTAACGTCATACCACAAACGGGCAGTTTCGCCCTCTTTGCTACATGTGGACGACAGAGAGAATGAGGGAGAGAGGGATAAGGGGACAGAAAGACGGGAGAGGTAGGGTAGAAAATATATAAGTGAGTCAACCGCAGGGCAACACTAAAGCTAAAACTGATTGGGAATTCTATACACAAAAGAGGATCACACCATTATTATTGCGAAACACGTGTCCTATTCTTTAGTCCGCTATACCACCTAACCACATTAGCCGAGACGCATTTAAACGGGGCCATGATGCCCTTTTAGCAGGGCAGAGAACTGAAGGTGGAAAATAGCATAGCAGAGCGCATTATCCGGAAAGAGAGCTCCATCTGGTTCATTCTCGCTGTCGGAGTCCTGAAATACCTCTCGAATCGCTTCAACAGTGCTGAGGGTACGACGATGGCGTGATATGCGAAGCAACAGCCTAACCACTGGCCTGTGTTAAAATAAATTGCCCACTGGAAAACCTCAAAACGACATTTTGCCAACGGCGATTTTGGAACTTACTTCGCGCCGCAAGGCACTCCCACGTCTTCAGGGACACCTCACTCGATATGGACAATCTAGTAGTTACGCCCCGGAGTGCCTAAGATCAAGGCCCATGCCCACAGGCTATGCACTGTTCAGGGACGGGTATACGCGAAGATGGCTATTCAGGTTACATCCTCAACGTCGGGTACACCTGACCACCTTCCTTTCTTTGGAGTTGGACGAAATTATTGACTGACTAAAAATTGTTATGCCTTGTTGTGCCAGTATGCATTGCCTGCATTGCTGTGGTTCACTCGATGTGGCAGGTGCTTGGTGAACGCAGCACTCCTATCCGTCTAGAAGGAAAACCCTCTCACAAACACACACCATGGCACTTTTTGCTTGCCAGAAAGTTCTTCTCAAAATGGTGGGCTTTCATTCTGACATGACAAAAGTTCTGTAGCAGTACCTCGAAACAAATCTCTTCCTATGTCGTAATCCGAGCAGGAAAGTCGTATTCGACAGTAATTATTCTCCTTGGAAGGATGATAAGAGCATATCACAGCATTCTTCCATGCTCAAAAGCAAAGCGAGGTCTGAGTCTGTGATGCACTATGGCGTTTCCGCAAGAAAGGATGTTAGGGTGACTCATCTTTCAGCGTCCTTGCTGTCGAGAGCGGACGTTTTTGCTCAGCTAACCAGGAATGAGCAACAGAAGAAGAGAGAATACCTGCATAGGGTATTACATGTTGAAAGAGCATGAACAGCTGCAAAATCTCTGAAAATGTTGTCTCGATCTGACCAGCCGTTCAAGAGGTATGGCCGAAAATGTGCCCTTGAAAATGTGCCCTTGCACTTTCGCGCTTTTCCATGATACGACAGGTTGCATACGGTTTGCTCAGATTCTGCTGGCGGTCTGGATAACCCCAGCGCAGTGCTGATGACACTGCGCTGGGGTTATCCCGACCGCCAGCAGCAGCACCTCAACAGCTCCAGTCAGCAGTGAACATGGTGATGGACTGGGCTGCTACATTTGGTGGCAGGTTTAATGCCGCTAAATCCGTGCGTGTTGTATTCGGCAAACTTGACCCCGCCCAGACTCCTGCCGCATACATGCGTGCGGATGGTGCAGACCCATGTCCCTCGACTACCCACCGCGACCTAGGAATCGCCCGCCTGTCCTTCCAGACCCACATCATTAGTGTCACCTGCAACTTTCGTCGTCGCGTTGTTCTGCCATCCTACATGTCACCCAATCTGACCCCTGCTCTCATTACCCGCCTCTACAAAGGATACGTCCGTCCCTCCATAGAGTATGCTTCACCTCTGTGGAAGAACAAACTGACCGCAGGGAATATTGACACTTTGGAACGATTGCAAGCACGCATGGCCAGGCAGTATTTACATCGTCCGAAAGTGCCCATTCCTCATGGCATGGAGAACGTGTTTGAAGCTGCTGAATGGGAAAGTCTTGCGTGGCGGCGGCATATACATTGCCTCAAACTGTTTTACCATTTCACCCGCCAATACCCGGAAACCCTCAATAATTTCACCATAGTTCTATCCAAGGGTGCACGACGTCCTCACTTTTACCTCCTGCCAACTCACACTGGTCCCTGTTTCCGATCCACTCTACTACATTCCATGATCACCACGTGGAACTCCCTGCCTACCGAGATTAGGATATCTGAAACCCGTGGTGTATTTAGCCGGCACGTTAAGTCCCATTTCCACAGGTATAGATTCCATCCTTGAGGTTTCTCACTTCCTGATTACCCCCTTCTTTACCAGCACCCTTTTCGCTTGCTTGGACTCAGACTTCTAAATTAACCTCTTCACATTAATCTTTTTATCTTAATATTTTCTTCCTTTTAAAAATTGCACCCCATTGCACCCTATTGCACCCTATTGTACACGTACTGTACACGTACAGTAAAACCTGTAACTAAAGACCACCGTGACTAGCGACCAGCCTGGTACTACAGTAAAACCTGTAACTAAAGACCACCGTGACTAGCGACCAGCCTGGTACTACAGTAAAACCTGTAACTAAAGACCACCGTGACTAGCGACCAGCCTGGTACTACAGTAAAACCTGTAACTAAAGACCACCGTGACTAGCGACCAGCCTGGTACTACAGTAAAACCTGTAACTAAAGACCACCGTGACTAGCGACCAGCCTGGTACTACAGTAAAACCTGTAACTAAAGACCACCGTGACTAGCGACCAGCCTGGTACTACAGTAAAACCTGTAACTAAAGACCACCGTGACTAGCAACCAGCCTGGTACTACAGTAAAACCTGTAACTAAAGACCACCGTGACTAGCGACCAGCCTGGTACTACAGTAAAACCTGTAACTAAAGACCACCGTGACTAGCGACCAGCCTGGTACTACAGTAAAACCTGTAACTAAAGACCACCGTGACTAGCAACCAGCCTGGTACTACAGTAAAACCTGTAACTAAAGACCACCGTGACTAGCGACCAGCCTGGTACTACAGTAAAACCTGTAACTAAAGACCACCGTGACTAGCGACCAGCCTGGTACTACAGTAAAACCTGTAACTAAAGACCACCGTGACTAGCAACCAGCCTGGTACTACAGTAAAACCTGTAACTAAAGACCACCGTGACTAGCGACCAGCCTGGTACTACAGTAAAACCTGTACCTAAAGACCACCGTGACTAGCGACCAGCCTGGTACTACAGTAAAACCTGTAACTAAAGACCACCGTGACTAGCGACCAGCCTGGTACTACAGTAAAACCTGTAACTAAAGACCACCGTGACTAGCGACCAGCCTGGTACTACAGTAAAACCTGTAACTAAAGACCACCGTGACTAGCGACCAGCCTGGTACTACAGTAAAACCTGTAACTAAAGACCACCGTGACTAGCGACCAGCCTGGTACTACAGTAAAACCTGTAACTAAAGACCACCGTGACTAGCGACCAGCCTGGTACTACAGTAAAACCTGTAACTAAAGACCACCGTGACTAGCAACCAGCCTGGTACTACAGTAAAACCTGTAACTAAAGACCACCGTGACTAGCGACCAGCCTGGTACTACAGTAAAACCTGTAACTAAAGACCACCGTGACTAGCGACCAGCCTGGTACTACAGTAAAACCTGTAACTAAAGACCACCGTGACTAGCAACCAGCCTGGTACTACAGTAAAACCTGTAACTAAAGACCATCGTGACTAGCGACCAGCCTGGTACTACAGTAAAACCTGTACCTAAAGACCACCGTGACTAGCGACCAGCCTGGTACTACAGTAAAACCTGTAACTAAAGACCACCGTGACTAGCGACCAGCCTGGTACTACAGTAAAACCTGTAACTAAAGACCACCGTGACTAGCGACCAGCCTGGTACTACAGTAAAACCTGTAACTAAAGACCACCGTGACTAGCGACCAGCCTGGTACTACAGTAAAACCTGTGACTAAAGACCACCGTGACTAGCGACCAGCCTGGTACTACAGTAAAACCTGTGACTAAAGACCACCGTGACTAGCGACCAGCCTGGTACTACAGTAAAACCTGTAACTAAAGACCACCGTGACTAGCGACCAGCCTGGTACTACAGTAAAACCTGTAACTAAAGACCACCGTGACTAGCGACCAGCCTGGTACTACAGTAAAACC